TGTGACGCGTGAAAGTGATGTTTAAGTCGTTTTTGCGTGCACTTGATCAAAGGTCATCGTCGACTATGCTCAGAAAGTCCAGGTTCTCTGGCTGGCCTCCTAACATGGACCATTCCCGAATACGCTTTCCCGCCAAAAAAACTTTCACGTGCTCCTACGTGAGAACCACACGGACCTGAGCGTCCATCTTGAGGATTCGAGCCCGCACGTATGTGTAGATTGAATCACCAAATTTTCAGCCTTGTAGCTTCTGTGGATTTCGAGATGAAAACTCGTTACAGACGCACACACAGGCAGACATACACACACACATGCACATACACACACACACACACGCAGACAATCCCTCGACCGTATGCGTTTTTGCATTGCGTAGCTGCAAGAAACGCATAAAAAGAATTTTCGTTGCATGGAATTGGTCCAATTCAAAGTAAATAAACATCCTGTTAAGAAATTAATTTTAAAACAAAGTTTTAATCAAGAACCTTTCTGAGTATGAAAGCAATGGCGGTATTGACGCGTTCGCCAATGCTCTGGAACATGATCAAGCCAAGTGGGATACCAGCTAGTGCAAAAATCATACAGAACAGCTTTCCTAGGGTTGTGTTTGGTGTCGAATGCCCATAACCTGCAATATCTAATCAAAACGAGACAAAAACACCTTCTACGAAAGGCGAATTGCTCGAAATGGCTGGAGTGGCCTAGCATGTGTCAACAATAGTCAGTCAGCGCTGTCGATGTACTCCACTTTCATGAGCTGCTTAAAAGCAAGCTAACGGTGATATATTGACATGTGCTAGTATTAGCTTGCTACACTGACCAGCAAACGAATCGCAAATGAATCCAAATGATACTACAACACAGTGTTGCCAACAAATTCTGATATGCGAACGAAATTACCTCAGTCAGCTGATATTTTCACATTGTATTCACGTACAGTTTGTTTACTGATGTTTTGTTAAACTTGCCAAGATCGCAGAATTCACTTTTTAACTGCGAAGAATAATTGGTATTAATAAAGTGGTAACATTTCGCTTAAAAAAGTAAACTAAACTAAAATGCAAGAACTAGCTCCAGGCAATCAAAATTATAAAAATTTTTCCAAGTCAGACATTTTCTGCTGAAAAGTTTTATAAGGAACAGAAAAAAAAAATATTACAACTTACCTAATGTTGTAATGACAATGATAGCAAAATAGAAGGCACCAACGAAATTCCACTGAACTCCAGCTTTATGTGTCATCGATTTAACTACTACCGTTTGCAAAATCTCGTAATCCCTGAAATACGGTATTTATTATCACTTCCGAAAATCATGCGATGCTCTAAAAATTGGAATCATAAAAAAACGCATGATTGCATCGATAAGCTACTGCGCCTGGATTTTTGCAATTCCGGAGCGATAGTTTACCTAGACACAATGAAGCTGTGCAACTTAGTTGAACAATCAGACATACTTCTCGGTGAAATTATATTTGCTGTAGAGCTTCTTCGCGATTATATCGATTTCATGTCTTTGTTCCAGATCGGTGCGATACTCTAATTTCTCAAATACGGCAGCGCCAATTAGCAGATACGTAAATGTACTGATTATTAGCATTACCGCTCGAACATTTTTTCGTCGCATTCGATATCTTAAAAAATGCATATTAGTTATTTATAGAGTTTCTCCTAGGTTTTAGGGACTGGTAGTGTTCTAACAGGTGCCGTTTATTAGTTCGCCTTCTTTGCTCTTTTCATTTTTGAGGCTTTTGCACGTCATCAGAGCAATGCCGGTTTCTGAAAGTTTACCATAATTTGTGCAAATGCATAGCCTGCAGGCCTGAATTTCATTTTTATGCGTTTTTGCTGTGCAGCACTATGGCAGCGTTGCAGCGCTGCTACAGCCAGCAAGAACGCATATTGTCGAAA